ACTCGCACACCATCCCTGAAGCAGAACGAACAAGAGCATTAGCAACGATTCAACACTCGGCAGCAGCAGAAACAACATCAGCAGCAGCAGAAGAAACATCGGCAACACCACCAACACTTACAACACCAGTCGCAAGTTCTTCAACGACATCGCCACACATCGACAATACTTTACCGACCCCTGCGCAGCAGCTAAATCCAACTCCTCGCGAAGTTCACAGAAGCGCCAACTTCACCACCGCCTTTTACTCCAACTCCGACCTGTATCGTCGTTCACCCGGACATCGCGCCAGCGAAGACATTTAGCACGCACGGATGGGACATCCAAGCAACACGGTGTTAAACAACACAATCAGAGCAAGAGTGCTCGACAAAGATTCACTACTTCTAACCGATGGAACTGAACTTCGACGAGCGCGAGGAACGTGCTTTACCTGCCCCGAAGCTGACTTACCGCATCGACCCTTCACTTCTCACCACAACCCCAGTGCACCAGCTTACGCACCACTTGAGAAGGTGTACAGCGACATCCTGTACAATCGCGAACCCGGACAAGGAGCATACAGTTATATCATCACGTTCATCGATGCAGCTACACGTTACGTATGGCACCTCAATCTCCCGAGCAAGGACATGGCCTTCGAAGCCTTCATCGCTTGGCTTCCAGTAGCAGAACGAGAATCAGGCAAGAAACTGAAAAGCTTTCAGTCAGACGGAGGAGGAGAATACACCTCACAGAGGTTCAAGCAGTTCTTGGCAGAAAAGGGAATCAAAAGGCTCATCTCGCTTCCTTACGCCCATCAACAGCAAGGCGTAGCGGAACGGATGAATCGAACTCTCCAGAACACCATGCGCAAGTTACTGCGTGGCATGCGACTGCCCAATCACCAGTGGCCTGAAGCAATGGACCACGCTGTCATGCTGCACAACTTGCTTTCGTCGTCGTCACTACCGAACAACGCATCACCGCACCTGCTGTGGACAGGAAAACAGGGCAGCACAAAAATGTTAAGAGTCTTTGGCTGCATGGTACAGTACCGACCCCCATCTGCACGAGCCGGCCGATTTTCCCAACGCGCACAGTGGGGATTACACCTGGGCATCGAAAAGAATTACAACGCGTGGAAGATTTTCGACGTCCACTCCAAAGAAACAGTGGCAGCACGTGACGTCATTTTCTACGAACGACTCACCCTTCCGACATATCTTGCCAACCTGGAAGGAAATCGGGATCCCATAGGTGGCTTCCGTGGTAACCGACACTTCGCCTCGGCAGCAGACGAAGCTGACTGGGATGAGCAGAACGTGGATAACGCCTCGCATGAAGCAGGACCACTCCCTTACTGCTCCGTGCCCATCCCGATGGATGACGAAAATCCTCGCGAAAGCGTCAACGCCGAAACATATTTCGACCTCGCTGACACTGGTTACGTTACACCTGCAGAAGTCAACACCAACGAAGCAGAACGCGTAGGGCCCAATTTCATACCTGACCCAGAAGCCGGTGACGAAGCAGCTTATCCCGCGGATACAACACTCCCCCGCTACACACAGAGTGGACTTCAGATACTTGGTCTCGTCACCCGGTCCACGGCATGGATCCTCCTAAGGAGCCTGCCACAGTTCAGCAGGCTCTGGGGGGGGAGCATAGGGAAAAATGGCATGAAGCCATGGACAAGGAATTGAAAGCACTACAGGAGCGCAACACCTGGAAGGTTGTTCCTATTGGCGTGGCACGAAACAAGACGATACTCACCGGGAAGTGGGTCTTCCGTGTGAAGACGAAAGCAGATGGCACCATCGACAAGTTCAAAGCACGCTGGGTCGTACGTGGCTTTGACCAAGAGCATGGACGCGACTTCACCGAGACATTCGCTCCGGTCAGCCGACATACTTCACTACGGATTCTTCTCGCGGTCGCCGCTATGAAAAAGAAGAGACTGCGGCAAATCGACGTCGCCAATGCTTTTCTCTACGCACCTGTCGACGCAGAAATCTACGTCGAACTCCCACATGGTTCTCACGGAGAGCCCAATCAAGTCTGTCAACTGCAAAAATCTCTGTACGGGATTAAACAGGCCCCGAGACTATGGCAGCAGTACTTAAACGCTCGGCTCACTCGCATCGGATTCAAGCAGCTGCCGCACGACCAAGGCATGTACCGATTCACGAAAGGCGACGACTACATTCTACTAATCGTCTACGTAGACGATCTGCTTTACATCGGGTCAACCGACAATATCACTACCTGGTTCGAAGGGGAGTTACAGAAAGAACTTATGCTCACGGTTTCATCTACCGTCACGCAATACCTCGGCCTCAACATCCAAGAAGGAGAAGACGCGATCTATCTCAACGCCGCAAAGTATGCCGACACCATCGCCAAACGGTTCGCACTCACGCCAACTACCATCTCCACGCCATACCGCTACACGGCAGGAAATGACAAGGCAGAATCTGCTCCACTGAAACCCGCCGGCATACGCAACTACCAGAGAAAGCTGGGATGCCTTCTCTTCGCGGCCGTCACCTACCGTCCAGACCTATCATACTCAGCAAGTCAACTCGCCACCTACCTCAAAAGGCCTGAAGACGAACACATGAAGGAGCTCGATCGCGCTTTACACTACCTCGTAAGCACCCCGACGATCGGCCTGATCTACTATAAGAATATAACTACAACGCCCAAGCTAATCGGCTACGTCGACGCCGACCACGCCGGAGATTCTGACAACAGGCGCTCGCGCACAGGCTATATCTATCGTCTCGAGCCTATCGGACCTATTTCGTGGCAGTCGAGTAAACAGGAATTAATCGCCCTCTCCTCAGCTGAAGCTGAATACATCGCACTCTGCTCAGCCACCAAGGAAGGACTGTACCTTCGCGAACTGCTGGAGGAAGCGAAGCTGGCCCAGTTACCCAGCTTCTCCCTTTTTTGCGACAACCAGTCGGCAATTCGCATCGCCAACAAAAATGGATTCGCGAACAGGACGAAACATATCGCCCTGCGATATTTCTTCGTAAAGGACGAGATCGAGAAGGGAAGACTTGAGCTGTCTTACTGCCCCACATCCGAGATGGCAGCTGATTACCTGACCAAGAAGCTCGGAAAGTCGAAGTTCGAATATTGCATGCTGCTGACTGGACAGAGCCACGTCACCTGCAGCGACACTCCAGAAGCGAAGGGGAGTGTTGGAAACAACTGATTTAAGCGCCTCTGTCGTGTCGAAACACCAAGACAGAAGCGAAGCAGATCGTATCGAAACATCGGTGAGTCAACCCTCGGAGGTTGAATAACTGTTGGAGGTTACGCGAAAGTCAAAGGTCAGCGACCTTTGACCTGACAAATGCAGCGCGACAGCAAGGACAAACAACTATCTCGATACTGAGCAGTTGCCCGAGTCGACACTGTATCGAACCGCAACAGCAAACAGTAAAACAGTTATTAACTGTATCTCTTCATATTCCTCTGTATTCTTATAAAAGCTTGTATCTCTTTTGTTTAATCAACTTACTTTTGCCCTCACATACAAGTGCAAGGTGGTTCACAATCCTTTATTAAAACGCTTCCGCTACTACATCATCCTACCCTTGAATTCTGTCCTGCAAAGATCCTAAAGGGCCTTTTCAGCCCAACAAAAAACACTGTTTTATTATAAGCGCACCTGCGCTTCTATCCGGGGTAATACGGTATCGTTGCACACAATAAAAAATTTATATCATCATACATGCCAGACGGGTGTTGCTCGCCGTCAGTTACTTCAGCAGGCTAAAATTCCGGTTTCAACAGTTGGCAATCGGGAATCCCGGGTTACGGGAAAGGGGGGGGGGGGGGGATTGGGGAGGGGGTATGATACTCGCTTCAGGGTAAAACTCGTTATGAAGAACGGTAACCCTGAGGCATCCGTGTGCCTTAAATGTAAACCCAAGCATATCAGGAAAATCCTAGCTCCACAAAAAAAATACCCTAGGCCATCAGTGTGACTACCAAAAACCACCCTGATAATCAAGGTATCAGGGTGATTTACACTGATAAAATTAGCCCTGGAGGACTAAGGTAGGACGGACGGCGGGTATGAGAATGGGAACAGCGGAATGGTGTGAACAGGGCAGCAGGTGGTACAAATAGGCAACCCTAATGTGTTGTACCCTAAACAATGTACCTCACTGTAGCCTAACAACCTAACACAGATATAAACATAGTTTGACAACATGGTTTCAGACGGAGCATCACAATTTGTCACAAATAACTCTTGTGACGCGAGTTCTGAAGACGCGTCAACATAGGAATGCAATGCACCCTTGCATCACAGACCGCTAGGTGCATGATTTAAATACCGTGTCGTAGGGGAATTTTGATTGTTCTGTATCATTAGACGATTGAGTTGGGTACCCTTTAATACATTTGTATAAGAACCAGAGAATGGCTCATTTGTCCATGCAGGTTACTGTACACCACGCAACCCAGATTGATTTCATCAATTTGAGTATTGCCTTGCACCCGTCGCTACTCATGTTCAATTTTCATTTGACTCAAAGCGGTCAAACAGAGGCTTGGGGATGGCGTGCGTAACGTTGTTGAACGGAATTTCTAGGTCCAGTGCATAAATCTTCTTCACCCGCTCGTATGTTTCCTGCAGCAGGTGCACAAAACAAACAAGACTGCACATGGGTCAGCCAGTTGGCAGATACCATGTACACATTGCTGGTACTTGCATAGCATATCACGCATGAGATGGCAGCATACCACAAAAAGGGTGACTGGCCGAAACAAGGGAGGAACCGATGAAGCTGGTGGAAAGGAGCTCGCGCATATAAAGAGGAGGCCGGCAACGCCGGGTAGTCACTTCATCATCCATATTTGCGAGCTTCACATCAAACTTGACCTGATGAATCTTTGAGTCAACTCTGAAGTCACCTCGCATCTACGGAGGAAATGCAGAGGCTACAGGATAGCAGCTATTGTATACAACGAAGAAGCAGGCAAGGCTGGGAACTTACTTTATCATACATCTTCACTAACTTCTCATCGGCGCGGGTCTGGTGCGCGTTGATGCCGAAGTTGAAGATGTCGAGATGGTCGCCTCCAAATCGGTTCACCACATACTTGGCATCCTTCTCCAGATTCTCAAACCGCCCCACAAAGTCGTACTTTATCAGCCCCAGCGCACACACGTCCCTCTGCTCACATGCATGTTGACAGATGTGTGGGTAGATACATAGATGCAGACATGCATGGGGGCAGACACACGCACACCATGGGGGCAGACACACGCACACCATGGGATATCCACACATGGAAACGGCACACATGAGAGCAGGCACAAGCGGGTGGATTTGCTTCTGCTGGAACCGCATGCTCCCTTGCACATGCCCCCTTGCACATGCCCCCTTGCACATGCCCCCTTGCACATGCCCCCTTTGCGCTTGACTTCACAAGCTTCACCAAGCCAGCCCACCTACCTGCAGCGCAATGTGCTGGTCCATGTTCCACCCACCTGCAGCGCAATGTGCCGGTCCATGTTCCACCCACCTGCAGCGCAATGTGCCGGTCCATGTTCCACCCACCTGCAGCGCAATGTGCCGGTCCATGTTCCACCCACCTGCAGCGCAATGTGCCGGTCCATGTGCCAGCGCCTCTCCTTGAACACGACGCCCACGAGCTTCACAAAGTCATGGAATGACACCAGGTCGTCCTCCCCCTTGAGCGCCTCCCACTGCGACCGAATCAGCCAGAAAAACGCCTGCACAGGGGGATAGGAGCAGGGGGAGGAGGTTAGGGGACTGGAAGAAGCATGGGGAAGCATGCTGCCTGCCTGCCTCTCATTCCAAAGCCCATCTCACCACAACAGCTCACATTGTTCCCACTAAAAGAAGACCGCCTTTGCTCACATCGTTCCAGTACTCGCGGGACCTCGGCCGAGTCTTGTAGTCGGGGGCGCCTGTGATAACCAGCTTGTTGTTGTTCGCTGAGAGGGCGAGTGAGAGCAAGCACAAGCGGCCAGCAATGGGCAGGCAGCAGCACAGCTCAACCCACAGGCAAGACTCACATTGTTCCAGCAGCAAGTACATCTTAGCCCCACAGTCAAGAATCACATTGCCCCAGAACTCACATTGTTCCAGTACTCGCGGGACCCCGGGCCCGTCTTGTTGTTGGGGGAGTCGGTGACGACGAGCTTGTTGTTGTACGCTGAGAGCACCCGGGAGAAGGGGTTGCGCACGAACGTGAATCGGAAGAGGTCCGGCCGGGTCATTGCCCGCACCTGGGGTTTGGGCAGGCGGGCGGGGCGAGGGAGGAGAGGGGGGAGTTTGGGCAGAGAGGGAGGTGTTTGGAGGCGAGGGGAGTGAGAGAGAGAGAGAGAGGGGAGGAAGATATGCTTGGAATTGGACAGTGGACACATGGGTTGTTTGCACATGGGTTGTTTGCACATGGGTTGTTTGCACATGGGTTGTTGGCAGCAGAAGATTGCGGCTTCTGCGGCAGCAAAGTAAGGTGTAGAGGTGGGTGGAGTGGCTGAGTGAAGGCGGGTGGTGGGCGGGGAGAGGCTGAGAAGGGGCAGGTGGAAGGAAGGGTGGCGAGGAGGAATAGCAGTGCAAAGAATTGCACTCTCTTTGCCACACAGTGGGGACGCATGCAAAGCGCAAGTGCTCGCCACACATGGGAGCACACTCACGGCCTGCTTCTCAGTGAAGTGCACGTGCAGCATGTGCCAGCCCGCCCTGTCATCGTCCAGCGCCAGCAGCGGGTCCTCTGGGTGTGGCTGGCCCAGCATGGCTCGCAGCCACATGAGCCACGAGTTGGCTGCTACCTTGGGCACTGTGCAGATGAAGATCTTCAGCTTCTCTGAGAAGGGTGTGGGATGCAATGGGGAGGGATGCAGAACGATTCAGTGTGGTCCATGTAGCACCTTGGGCACCACCGCGCACATGAATAGCTTCAGATTCTCTGGTGGGCTGAGGGATGTGGGGTGGGGGAAGAACGAGTGGGGGATTCCAGCAGTCACATGAGCCATGAGTTGGCTCACCCCATCCCCATCACATGAGCCACCTTGACATTGGATGCGATGGGGAGCATGCCATGCCAGTCCTTGCATACAGGTTGAGCATGCCATGCCAGTCCTTGCATACAGGTTGAGCATGCCATGCCAGTCCTTGCATACAGGTTGAGCATGCCATGCCAGTCCTTGCATACAGGTGCTCGCACACTCACAGACGGGGATTCCAGTGGGGACGAGGGCCGTAAGTAGTAGTACCCACCTCCCGCCGTTGCCGTGCTATTCACTTTGGCCTGCCCACCCACCTGCCGGCCACCTGCCGCCCACCCGCCAGAACCCTCACCTTCCACCATGGTGAACATGGACCACTTCTGCTTCGTGATTGGCCGGATCTCATGCCGCCCGCACACGGACACGTGCAGGCGGAAGGACGGCGAGCGCCGAGCGGCCTGGGCGGCAATGAAGCGCGGCTCAAGTGCGCTGCTGTTGACTGCCACCAGCCCGGCTGCTAGGCTCATCGAGAAGAGCTCGGATACCTGGGGGAAAGTGGTGGGGCAAGGCGGGGGATGTGGGGGCAAGGGAGGGAGTGGGGAAGGAGGCTCCAGGGCGCTGCTGCTCACCGCCACCAGCCCGGCTGCTAGGCTCGATATCTGTGGGAGGCGGGGAAGGGAAGGGGAGGGGGAGCAGTGGAGAGGGGGTATGAGGGGAGTGGGAGAAGGAGGGGGGAGGGTGGTGCTATCGGAGAAGAGCTCCGATTCCTGTGGTAGGAGAACATGGGAGAGACGGGGGGAGTGAGGAAGTAGGCTCTAAGGCGCTGCTGTTCGGCATCGTGCAAAACACCCACCCGCATATAAAGGCACCGCATATAAAGGCACCGCATTGAACCCACCAGTAGCTAAAGGCACCGCATTGAACCCACCTGCAGCTGATGGCACCGCATCAGAGTTTCATCCGACACCTCCAATCTCCAAACCGCTCTTCTCACTCTCCTCCTCCCCAATCCGTCTCCTTCCCTCACCACCTCTCCCCCCACCACATCCTCCTCCCCACTCCCCACCCCCTTCTCCCTTCCCTCCCCCTCCTCCACCTCAACCTCCTCCTCCAGCTGACACGTGGCAATGCGCGATTGGGTGGCGTGGAGCAGGAGCGGGGAGCGGGCGGGGGGAAAGTAGTCCATGATTTGCAGCACGTGGGCGGGCGAGTGGGCGGCGAGGGTGAAAGACACAGCGCGGTCGGCGAGGTAGGTCATGGCGATGCGGCGCATGGCGCACATGGGGGGTGAATACTCCGACTCCTCGCTGCACCCCGCACAGCCTGAGGGGCCCAGGGGCTAGGGATGGGGAGTGAGGGATGGGGAGGTGGGAGTGGGGAGTGTGGGGGGGGGACGGGGGAGGTGGGAGGTGGGAATGGGGAGTGAGGAGGTGGGAGTGGGGGACGAAGAATTGGGGGAGGGGAATGGGGAGTGGAACAGGGACAGAGGAGCAGGAGGAAAAGAATGGGAAAACAATGGTGGTCATTGGGGGAGTGGAAGCGATATATGGGACAGGGTGGAAAATGGCTTCGGGGTGGCAGGCAGGGAGAACAGCTCAAGGGCAGGACGGGTTGATTTGTTGCATATGTATCGGCAGGGTCATGGAGAGTGGAGACGAGGATTCGAAAAGGAGAGCCGGAAGTGAATCGCATGGAACTTGATTGCGAGGGTGTGGAGGTGAGCAACGAGATAGGGCAGCCCGAGGCCATGGGGAAGTGTATGTGCATGTGGGGAACCTGCCATGCCATGCCATGGTACCATCACACAGCGCATGCAAGCACGGGTGCATGGTGCATGGTGCATGGTGCATGGTACAGCGTGCAAGAGCGTGGCAGCATGTGGTCGCGCACATCAACATAGAAGGCAGTGGAGGTGGTGAGGCGGTGCACGTCCTCCTTGAGCACCAGCGACGCCACAAACGGGGACGGCTCCAACGCGCCCAGACACTCCTCCACCCGCCGCTCATACTCACACAAGTCCACCTCCACCCTCCCTTGCGCCACCCTCGCAGCTTCGTCCTGTTCCCCCAGGAACAGACCCGCCCCCCCTCCCTCGCCCTCCGCTGCCCCTGCTGCTGCTGCTGCTGCTCCATGTGCTGGCGGGGCGTGTGGGGTGTGAGGTTCAGCAGCAGCAGAGTGGGGTGCGAGGAAGAGGTGCGGGGGAGGAGGCAGGGAGCGGGAGGACGACCTGCCCCTGCATGGCCGCAGCACCACCTGCCCTTGGCGATGGGGATGGCGATGGGGATGGGGATGGGGATGGGGATGCGGATGGGGATGGGGATGGGGATGGGGATGGGAATGGGGATGGGGATGTTGATGGGGATGGGGATGGGGATGGGGATGGGGATGGGGATGGGAGTGGGGATGGGGATGTTGATGGGGATGGGGATGCGGATGGGGATTGGTGGGGATGGGAATGAGGATTGAGATTTGATGATAGCAATGGTGATGCACGAGCGCCCAAGGACGAGCTATGCAGAGGGGAAGGCAACGGGAGGAGGGGCACGGGAGGAGGACGGGAGGAGGGATGTGGGAGGACGAGGAAATGACACGAGCAAGGCATGGCATCAGGAGTAGAGCATTGATAGTGGAAAATAGGAACACGGGCACCACCCTCTCACCCTCACCGCTCTCTCACCCGCACCGCCCTTAATCCTCACCTGTTGCTGCGGCGAGGCGGCCAGTCGCGTCCTCAGCGCGTCACTGCGCACAGGCAGGTCGCGCACCCACACCCCGCCCTCCCCCCCGCTCACTCCCCACACCTCCGCCCCATCCCCTCCGCTGCTGCTACTGCGGCTGCTGTTGGGCGCGGGGGGGGCGGAAAAGAGGTGGCGGAAGGTGGTGGCGGGCAGGTGGCGGTCGGCGGGCCAGAGGGCGAGCGTGGGCTTGTTGGTGAGCGCCGTCAGCGCATACGCCGCGCACACCGCGTGTACACGCTCCGATAGAGAGCCCTGGGGGGATGGACGGACCGGGGGAAGGGAAGGGATGGGAAAGCGAGGGTGGTGGGTAGGGGGGAAGAGGGAAGGGGGACGGGGGAAGGGGTGTGGGTGGGGAAAGGGGGGGCGTGGGGATTTGAAGAGAAGAGAATGAGCGTGAGTGTGTAGTGGTGAAGGTCCGCATGGCCCTACAGTCTACACTGCATGCACGCGCTGCTGCAGCGCGCCTTGGGGAAGGGGGAGGGAGAGAGTGGGAGGGGAGGAGGGGGAGCGCGGGGGGGAGGTGGGTTGGAAGAGGGTACAGGAAAAGGTAAGCGACGAAATTAGGGGCTAGAGCGTATGACACGCTGGGGCACTGGCACCGGCACGCGCGCTGCACGCACACGCGCTGGCAGAGAGTCCTGGGAAGAGAGGGCGAAGCGGGGAGGGAGCCGTGGGAGCGAAGGGGAAGCGGTGGGGGAAGGTTAAGAGAGAGGTGTCATGGGAGAGAAGGGATCATGAGAGAGAAGGGGGAGAAAAGGAAGTAAATGATGGGGTGAAGGATGATGGGGGATGGACGGGAGGCGGATCATGTTGGGAAACGGCATCAGCGCAGAGCGCATTGCAGCGCAGCGCGCATCACGGCGCAGTGCGTTCCTCAGCGCAGCGCGCACCTCTGCAAGAATCACCGCGGCGGCATGGGCGCATTCGTTCCCCCCACTGCCGTCCGCGCACCTCCACGGATCCACCTCGCCCGCCCTCCCACCATCCCCAATATACGCGTCTTCGCTACCATCTGCAAGATACCCGCTCAGTTCCCCCGTCTCGCCGCTCGCTTTCCACATATTCGCGATTTTCTGCGACGCTTTGAGCAGCGCCTTGCCGTTGAGAACCGTGAAGTCGATCTTGTCGCGCGACAGGCTCCAGTGCGACAGCCCGGCGACTGTTGCGACGACGAGGAGAAGCGGCGGGAGCAGCCATTGCAAGAGGCGAGGCCGCTCGCCGCTGCCGTGCGTCTTCCGCTTGCCGAGCGTGATCGTGTAAGTCATTGGCAGGAAGAGTGCGCGACGCGTGTGCGACGCGTGCGCGACACGTGTGTGGCTCGCGTGTGACGCGAGTTAGTATGGCTATGCAAGTACGAGATTTGCCTCCTCCTGGCAAAACTATTAGGCACGACGTTAATCTGGCGCCGTGAGGTGAGTTGGGCTGGTAACGCGTCTACTCCGCTATGAGAACGCTGACGGGAACGCGAACGCACATACTAATGAGTGGCTGCCGACAGCGCAGCGTGCTACGCGTTTGATACTGAGACTGAGCTCTACTCGCCACGCAAGTACTCGCCACGCAAGTCTACTCGAAACGCAAGTCTACTCGCCACGCAAGACTACTCTTCACGCAAGTCGAATCTACTGGCCATCCTGGCCCACCACCACCGAGGCACCACGGTCACGAGCTGTTGGGATTCGGGCGCTGCGCGGTCGGGAGCGATTCACGCAAACGCAGCACGTCGACTGGGACTGAAAGGGCATGTAAGCGGTACCCTAGCGCATATCCTAGAGCGCGCAACGGTCGTGATCGTCGAGCTCATCGAAATACTTGTTCGTCGGATGCAATCGGTCGGAGCATCCATGTTCCGGCATTTTCGGCATGGATAAAACCTACACCCATGTTTCGGCATTTTTCTGACAGCCAAGGGGATTCTTGGCGTCGATGTTTACCTCCCGGCAATCTGTTTCTCTCCCTCCATGTTGTCTGCTTTCTATAGCGGCCATTCGTTCTCTAGACGTCTCTGGTCTGACCTGCTCTCATTCTGACAGACATACAGTTCCTGTCTCATCGAGCTTCAGTTATGGCAATACAGCCACTGCTGGAAATCTCATGCCAACCGCCATACCAACCAACCAACACCCCCTTGACTTGGCAAGTTGGCATCCACCAATCTCTCATACCTAGGGGCACGCTCGGCTTGATTCGAGGCTTGAGCTGGTTTGGTTTGGATGTAGGTTAGGAAGGAACAAGATGATTGGTTGTGGGGGAGGTTACGCAGATGAAGCTGGGGGCATCCCGAAGGCGCCTCGCTCGGTCCTTCCGGAGCGGGGCGGCAGGTCAGCCACAGCTGCGAGGGTGGCCCTGATGGACGGAGCGCGGCAGGGGCTTCGCGGAGATGTTGGCGCTTGGTGTGGGGCATGGCGTGGAGGAGCCTCGGTTGTTGCGGGCCGTACGCCTAGGAGCCTCGAGAGAGATTCGAGAGGAGCCGCCCAAAACCCAAGATGTTTCGCCCCGACGTAGACACCAAGCCTGACAGGCATGGGATAACGAACCGAGCAACTCATACTGAGAAACTTGTAAATCTGCAGAGCCGCATAACCGCACGCTGTAACAAATTTTGAGCACAATACCTGTAATGAATTAGAATTCATTACTGTAGAGGCTGCTCCTAGCGAGGACATCCCGAACAGTTTGGGTTCGGCCTACACTTCGGCCCGAACCACATTCCGAGTCGCTCCGCACCAATCGCGACATTTCGAACCCTCGTACATCACGAGGTTCACGCCTAGCACGTATTCGCCCTATAACTGCTCTCTTTCTTCATTGTATCGTCATTCTGTATTCACATCATTTTTATTAAGTCTTTCGCACATTCTGTTTAGTACTACTCATAACACTTGGTATCAGAGCTACTTTCCTAGCTCACCCCGCTTTTTAGAGTGTAATACCCTCGAGGGGGGGACAGGGAAGGATGTTGTGGGGACCAGGAGCTGCGCGATAGCCGGCCAGGAGAACGGGTAGTTGCTCCTCACTGCCAAGATTTTACTAGCGCTCTTTCGGCACCGCCGGACCGGATCCTTGCTCTTGACAGTCGAGATCGACCGTGACCTCCCTCCCCCCGAGAGGTAGGCAGCTGTGGCAGAAGCACATTAATTACATGAGTTACCTGTTTACGATTTCCGTCAATCTCGGAGTTATTATGAATGCTAGCTGGCGTCGGCAGATCGTCGCCAGTGCACGTCCGAGATCGCCGGAAGAAACATTGTGCGAGTTGGCATCTTCACGTGGTCGCCAACGGCGCGCGACAAAGTCGGAGTTAATGCGTGCGGCAAGTGGCGTCTGTTAAGATAGGAGCTTAGGCTAAGAAGCCATAGCTAGGTTTTAGGTTATATGAAAGAGAAATAGGAGAAGAAGATGAGGAGTTTCACTAGCAGCAATGAGGATACATATAGCAAACCCTAGATGGGTTGTACTCGCTATAGAGCACCCCACTACAGGCTAGAGAATAACATTCTGACAGCGTCATGCGTTATCGTCACGTTGCGCACGAAAATTTCGGAAATCTTCAGCACGTGGTGATCGTCGTCACTGTGCGCGAAAATTTCGTGTGGCTTCACATGGAAAACGACGGCTGGCCGGGCAGGCCAGACGCATGGCCATTTGCGTCGGAAAAATGCAATGGCGAGGAGAGACGGCGTGACGACTGCCCGAAGAAAGTGGGGGTCTATTGTCGTCCCGCCCGAGTGCATCTGGTGTGGCTGCAGGAGGGTGCGTCGTTGGCGTTTTCGGCAGAGCGGTAGAGTGTGGGACGGAAGTAGTTCCTCAAACCACAAAAAAATGCGGAATAAACCGCCTACGAATAGACTATCTATCGTCAGGGTCACTTCCGAGATCGACGGCGTTGATGCGGGCTAGTTTCCGTGAAATTCAGTCTCGGAATATCCCCAGAAATTCCTGGGTTCCATACTGCCTCCGAATACGGTGGAGACCCAGTTTGTGTTAACGAGAGTGGAGTGTTGGCCCCGCCCTCGCTTGGGCAACGCCGACGACTTGGTTGGATGTACGGGAGAAGCAGCCGGCCGTCCACGATGGTGTTGCCGTCGACCAGAGGTTCTCGACGGCTGCAGCTGATTGGGCTGGTCGACGGATGGGCCGTCGACCTGACATGTGAGCAGCAGTCGACGAGGGGAGCTCGGCGTCAGCAGCTGCAGTGCTAGTCGACGGAGGGAGTCGTCGACCAGAGCACTGGGTGGTCGACGAGCATGTACAACTTCTGGTCGACTTTCCCCGAACAAGTCGACACTGACCTGGTGGTGTCCAGGTCGATCGGGTAACTTGCTCGACGAGTTCTGCGGAGGCACGTGAACGTCATCGAGGTCGCGATGGCGAAGGCGACTTCGGGCTGGTATCCCGAAGTCGATGTGGCTCGTCAGGCGCAGTCAACAGCTGATGGATGCACAACAAGGCGAGTCGGGCCAATCGTCTGTGCGCACCTGCGAGCGTGTGCACTGCTGTCTTCTAGGGGGCAACGCTGGACAGCCGCACTGCTGCAGCGTTGGCACGCCGTCGACCTGCTGCGTTGGCAGGTCGCCTTTCTGTAGTGCTGGCGCGGCTCCTCTACGCAACGCTGGCAGGTGGTCGACCAGGCTAGCTGCGGAGTTGCTAGGTGCCTGATGTAGTCATTTCTTTCATTCCTTGTTTAATTGATTATGTAATGCAATCTTTGCCTAGTGAAACTCTTGCCGATTTCTCCTATGAATGTGCAAGCGCTAAGGAACTAAGCAAAGCTACGATCACTCCTAGTAGTTCATGCCAACCCCCCCATAGTCTAGCTCACTACCTTGTAGAGTGTCTCTCAGCATGGTGCGGTGAGCGTGGACGGCCCCGCAAATTACCTTCAGATAGGAGCCGAATTTTGCACCTTCTAAGTCGTTCGTAGGCAGCAGCAGCATTGGTCGCCATGGTCGACCCTGTAGCTAATGCGGGAGTAGCGGACACCTTGGAGGCACGCTTGGCTGATGCGCGGAAACGCAGTGAGGACGGCGAGTACTAGATTATCCCCTGGGCAATCGTCGAGTTTGGCATCCGGGCGCAGCGCGCGACGGAGCACCCTTCCCGTCTCGCATCTCCTCGACCGGTACGAAACGAAGGTGGCGTTGACGACGAGGTCGACGGCGGTGCACGAGTTAGCGACAACGATGGCACGAAGCAGAGAGGGGTGATCAAGGTCGACGGTGGCGTCGAGAGGATTCAGGCGCGAGTGCAGCGGTCGACGGCGGATGCAGGCAGCTCGTGTGCCGACGTTGATGGTCGACGTCGCTCTCCTCTACGAAGCGGTTGAGGGCTCTCGGCGACGACGCACGTGACAGCAGGCAGGATCGCACCGGCATATGGGTACTTCAAGTTTTCCCCGGACCGGATCACCGTCACACCTCTGCAAGGTCGACATGACCTCATCACCTGAAGGGAGTCGATAGAACCTCAGTTGGAAGTCGCCGGGCCGAAGGGCTTCGCCGACGGCACTGTGCCCATTCCGCCCGAAGAAGATGTCGAGCTGCGCGGGGAGTTTTGTGCTGCTCACCTTCATGGTCATCTCGAAGTGCTGCTCGCCGGTGGTGCAGCTAGCGCTCAGGTCCTGTCGAGAGCGACTGGACGCCGGTCATCAATCATGGCACTTCATCATGTCGACGTATCAGGTGAAGGACGACACGTACATCGTGGAGGAGAAGATGACACACATTCGGATGGACGAGCAAGAGTCGGTGACGGACTACTGCAATTGTGCTCGATGGATCCTGGCTGAGATGCGGATGGCGGGCGCCGAATACTCTATGGCGTCCTACATTGCCCACGTCCTCAAGGGCCTGTCGCGCAGTTACAACCTCATGAAGATGATGACAATGGTGCTCGGCACACGTGAGTCCCTCGACGAGGACTCCCTCACCAACTACATCCTCCAAGATTAGGCGATGCAGGAGGCAGAATAGCCCACGATGCTCCTTTCGCAGGCAAGTTACGCTGCACCGACAAAGCAAAATCGTCAGTAGGAGCAGCACGAGAAGCCGGGCGGAGGTGGTAACGGAGGTGGGCGGTCGACGAAAGATGTCGACGAGAAGAGGTCGACGCGGGACAAGGGCTGAGGAGGTGGTGATCGACGGCGAGAGTGCTGGATCTGCCACGACCCTGACCATCTCTCCTACGAATGCCCTGAACGCGACGAGGACGAAAACAAGGGAGGCCACGGTCGATCGGCCAGTCGTCACCCTCATCAAGATGCAAA